CCAACTCCTTACCTTGGGTTTTCCCATTTGCCATCCATTCAGTTATTCAAGTATCTAGCTAGAGAGCACTTTCTCAGTCCTGGGGATTTAATGACCAACCAAGCCAAATTAGCTCCAGCCCCAAATCTAGAAGCTTCCATTTCCTTCTAGGTGTCCTAGTTTCCTGATGCAATAGCCCCAAAGTCACTAGAGGCACTTATTCAACACTCCCACCAGCCACATGACTGACTTAGAGCCATCTATTTATTCTCTCTGGGTCTCAACTTCCTTCCCTGTCAAGTGTTGACATTAAAACCTATTCTCCTTCCTTCAGGGGCGCACTGTGAAAATTCTGTATGCTAATGCCTAGGGCTTTAGAAAGGTGGCCCTTGTCAAGAATCTCTTCCAGCACTAAGCCCTTCTCGGTAAAAAAAGAAATAGCTGGGAAATGAGGCTGGTGCTGAGGCCTGTCCACACCCTTCATCTTGCTCTTGGTGGGTTTCTTCCTGAGGTGGCCAGCCTGGCATCTCTGTCCTTCTAGGCTGAAGGATGAAGAAGCAGTGACTACCTGGTACCTAAGCGCTAGAGAGAGACAATAGTAAGGCTAGGCTGTCTCCTCATTTCTCTCCTAGGGGGCCAGGACCGAGTGTCCCCAAATCTCTGGTGGTGCTGAAGACTGGAACCGCTGGATCTATTTGGGGCTTTTACTTTTTTGTTTTGGTCAATTTAGAGAGAAAAGAGGCAATGACCTCTTCCTTAAAAAACAAAACCAGGCAGGAAGTGTGCTTCGCCTGAGTGGCAGGGACTAAGGGTGTAATTACAGGTTTTTGTTCAGCATTTTCATGTAATTAAATCCAAAGGAAAGCGAGAGCCTGGCCTAGGCTTCTTGGATGTAAGGTAGACTAAGAGGGGCGTGTGTGTGTGTGTGTGTGTGTGTGTGCGCGCGCGCTGGGATGGGGAGAAGAGGCAGGAGGAGAGAGATGGATTTGCTTTTCAGGCTGAGAAGAAGCGGGGTTCTCGCCTTTATTAATATCTTTCCATTCTTTTCCCAAAAGGTAGCCAATTATTCATCTTTTATTCGATGCCACTGCACTCTCCTTGGTGACATTTCCCAGCCATGCGCAGCCTTCGCGGCACTGATTTCCCTTCAACCGTGGACTCTCCCCCTCCCCACTTTTTCATACCGCCGCTTTCTGCCTGGCTGCCCACACAATAAACTCGCTGCAAAATCCACAGCCAGCTTGCTGGCCTACAGCGTTTGGATACCAGCGACCTCCGCCGCAGCCGCAAAATAGTCCCTCCTTTTGTTTTGAACATCTTCTGGCTTTCCCAGTTCCGCTTTCCAATATTTCCACCCCGCCCCGCCTTCCCCGCGGCTGCCTCGGTTTCCCAGGGCAAACACGTCTCTGTGCACACGAGCCTGTGGTCTTCAGCGCCCAGAGCGCTCAAAACGGGTCCTAAACCGCGGGGCGCGCGGCCTCCCCTCCCCTCCCGTCGCCTCTCCCTCCCCCAGCCCTCGTTGTCCCTCTGACGTTTCCTGGACGTTGTGAACTGGCAGCAAGAATGGACCCACTGTCTCTGCTCACATTCTTAAGGGCAGGAAACCTGACCCACCCCAAACCACGCGCTCCAAAGGAAGGGCACTTGCATTTTCCGGGAGGGCGGGTCTCTGCTAGGGTTAGCTGGGCTGGCCTCCGGCACCCCACGCCGCTTCCCCTCCCCCACCAGACCCACCGATTACCACCCCCCACCCTGACGCCCCCTTCACCTACTCTTCCCAAGAACAGATTGTTTATCAGAACGGGCAGCCAAGAAGCCTACTCCTGTTTCTAGCCTCTGCCAGAGATTAATCACAGTTGGGAAAGGCACAAAACTTGCTGTGTTGGGGCGGGGCGGAGGAGGGCGGGTGGAAGGGTGGTTAAAAGGAAAGACCAATAATTCTGACATCTGACAAGCTGACCAAATTGGTGTTACCTTTCCCCTCCTTTCTTTTAGCAAGTCAGGCAGAGGACTGAATTATATTTCATTCCCACTCCCTCTGCCCCTGCACCCCCACCCTCCTCTCTCTAAGTCTTCGTTTTGATGCTTTAATAGTACTGACTGGCTTTTAATTTTGATTAACATTCTCATTCTCAACTGAGGTGTGTGTGTGTGTGTGTGTGTGTGTGTGTGTGTGTGTGTGTTGAGGGCTAGAAAGACACATTCACAAACCTGACTGCCTGACAAATCCCCCCTTTTCATCCTTCCCTTTGAAATGACATCAAGATGGAAGTGGGGGGGAGTGGGGATGAAGAGAGGAGGCATGGAAAAAAGAGAGGGAGGGGGAAGCAATTTATGTGCTTTTCTAAGGCAGCTAGTAAAATTCCTAAGGGAGAACAAATGCCAAAATGGACTGTCTTGGTGTATTTTAGACCCGATCATCAGGGTGAATCATGTCAGGGCTTTGCATTGGACCCGCAGCCTGGAAGCTTAGGGACAGGCATACAAAACATCCCTGTGTCTGGGAGGTGCCCTTCTGAAGGCGGCAGGAGATAGGTATTTGCTCTTGCCAGTTTCCTCTCCATCAGGATTTTTTTTTTCTGAGATTCATTGCAAGATGCCTTTTTAAACACACACACACACACACACACACACACACACACACACACACACGGCTGATAAAGAAAAACCAGGGATAGAAAATGCCCCATAAAACATGGCCCCCAAAGGGAAGGTGCAAAACCCATTTGATCCAAGATATAGATATCTCCACCCTGGATTGTTTTTTCCCTTTGCTTTACAACTCTGCAGACATCAGGTTAGCAAAAGGTAATAAATAGTCCTTGCACAGCAGGGTCTGGACTAGTGAAAACAGTTTACTGAAATTAATGGGCCTCGCCTGAACCAAAACCTCCACTTTGGAATTAATGCCAGACATAGTTTTCCTGAACTCTATCCAACTGCCTAAGCGGCAGACAATTTTTGTTCTATTTGTGCTGGAAAATAAAGCCCGGGCCCTTGATCTCAGTGTAGATTCTAATTTTTTTTTTTTTTAAATTCAGCACAGTGAACACTGCCAATTTCCAGTTTCTGCTAGTAGAAGCTCTTGTGCTCTGGGCTGTGCGTGACACTGTGACAACCAGAAGTTATCTGGTAAACTTTCCACTGAAAACCATCTTCAGGCTCCCTCCCTCCCCATCTGTGGCCTCAGAGCTTTCACCACGACACGGCGAGATTCAAGAAAGACTCCAGAAACGGGTTGGGTCCTCAATAACCCTCTTTCCCAAGGCTCTTGGAAAGGCTGGATCTGAACCATGCTGCCTGCATGACCCCCATTCCCCTCCCTACATGAAGCTGCAAAACGCCCAGCCCAGCTAGCAACCCTGGTACTCAGGGTGTCTACAGTTCGGAAGCTTTTCACTTTTATTTTTAAGGCTAACACACACACACACACACACTCTCTCTCTCTCTCTCTCTCTCTCTCTCTCTCTCTCTCTCTCTCTCTCTCTCTCTCTCTCTCTCTCTCTCTCTCTCTCTCTCTCTCTCTCTCTCTCTCTCTCTCTCTCTCTCTCTCTCTCTCGGGCTGTGACACCCAGTGGTTATGGCTGGTACAGCGGAGACCCGCTGCCCTGGCTGTCAGTGTCAGATCCCAGCCTGCCCCCACCCCACCCCCTATTAATAACCGCCCGGTTGCGGGCAGCCGACGTTCTGGTTTTCATTGTACAGTCTGCACTGGTGACACAGGACATGTGGAAATTTTTGAGAGCACTGCGGTGAATGGCGTGGGGAGGGCGGGTAGCGTGAGCAGAGGGAAGGGGGGAGGGAGGGGAGCGAGTTACTTTTTAGCTTCCGCTAAGTACTTGGCAGCTCGCCAGGCCCGGAGGATTCTGGGAAGCGAAAGCCTCCCCAGTATAAACTGCCAGCTTTAAGCAGTCCTGACAGTTCTGCTCCTTCCAAACTTGGCAGCCGTTCAAAGTGCTCTTTCATTTGAAATGCTGGAAGCCTGCCATGTGCAATGCAGATTTGCTGTGCCTGTGCGCAGAAGGAACTGATAAATGCCGTTGCAGTTGCCATGGGGACAGGAGGCTATCAGAATGGCCTTGTGATCCTCAGCCTCTCGGCGCGGCAGGCTCTCGCTCTCCCTCCCTCCGCCCCTCCTCCTTCTCGTCAGTGAGATGGTGAAATAAATGTTCTGGAAAGAGGTTAACCCTCCTCTCCCTGGTTCCGAAGCGGAGAGGAGATTAACCTCTAGGCATTTCCCGGGTCTTAAGTGCCAGCCGCGACCACAGGACTAAGCACCCTCCTGGGCAGGTCACCACCCCCTCCACCCGCACCTCCACCCCCACCCAAACAATCACACACACACACACACACACACCCGCCCTGCTTCCTGCTCCCTGGGGGCTTGCACAAAGCTGTGTTTTTAATAGAGCTTTTCAGCAAGTCCAAGTGTAAGTCTTTGAGTCATCAAAACCCGGATGTAAACACAGCAGCCCTACATTCTGCACAGTTTGCGTGTATTTTATCTTTTTAATAATATTTTGCTGGCAACTGGGAACTGCAAAGATGCCAGCTACGTTAGCCAGCCGTTTACCTCATGCAGCATCCATCTTAGGGGAGAGTGGCTGCCTGGCCTTTCCTGTTCTCTCTCTGTCCCTAGCCCGAGACAGCAGGAAATCTGCAGGAAATCTGCAGGCATCTTATTGCTGTAGAGGCAACCGAGTCCTTTTAGAACCTCGGGGTTTAGAATGAGCATGACATCACCCTGGGCAACAACAACAGAGGGTATGTTTCTGTCGGAGACAAGACACTGGGTGATCTGAGGTGAAACAGGTCTATCATTTATGCTGAGTGGGAGGGTGCGCCAGTCTGGATGGCCGGCCCCCCATTTTGCACAAGCTGCTATTTGAAACACAGACTGATTCAATGCACAGAAACAAAATAGCACATTCAGATTTGGTCCATGTTCAGGTCTATAATGCCAACGCTCCGGGTGGCCTGTTTAATGGGGAAAAAATGAAATACTCCATTCCAGCCAAGGCTTACGGAGGCCAAAGAGGTTTAGTGATTTATTTACATTGAGCAGTAGTCCTCCTCAACCCAACGCGCTATTTCCTGAAGGTTTCCTGAACCTAAACCTTTGTTAACATCCCAGGAAGAGAACATACTTTTCCTGTGGCTTTCAATATTTTCTGCTAAATATATTTCGGCACACTGTTTATCTAGGGTTTCAGCTTTCAGACCTTTATGTACTTTTAACACCTTGAGGCCGTTCCACTGGAAAAAAAAAATGGTGTGTGTTTATTAAAGAGGATTTTATGTGCTGGGCTCCAAGGCAGTGGGAGTTTCTGTTTGGGTCTGTCTAGATAATGAGGGCCTCAGGATGAGGTCCAAGTGACAGGCCTGTTTGGTTTATGAACCCCTTTTGAGAAAGCGGGCCCTCCATGGCTCATACAAACCTTTGAATACCACAGAATGTTGAACCAAATGAGGTATTTCTTCATAAGTGTACGGCTGACAAGGAGGCCAGACGGGAGAAGGATGGAAAATGCCCCAGGTTCCTGGGGCTTAGCTGCGATTTCTTTCAACCTGACACTGTCTGGGTGTCTGCTTATGATATTCACGGCAATTCTGGCCAGAGCCACGCACACTCGTCTCCCTGGCATTTCCTGACTTCAAGCAGCCCCTTCCAAGTAAATACATTTATCGATAGAAGCCATCTGCTTCACCTTGCCAGCAGGCACAGAGCTGGAAGGGGTAGTGCTCAACGCGGTTTTTAGGATCAATTGGCCCATTAGATATTTGGAGGTGGGTTTAGCTTGGAATTAAACAGGACGGAATTGGGGGGTAGAAATCAGGTGATTCAGAGAGCCCTGCTTTCTCCCCACCCCTCCTCCCACCCTCGCCCCAGCCCCCACCTTCTCCAGACAATCCAGGCAGCTGGGGTTTTGGCTCTGGAAGCTCCTGAGCTTTGGCAAGCCAAAGCACATTTCGTGGTGGTGATTCCTTCCCCAGGTTGACCGACAAGTTTCTGTACTGAGCAAGGGATGCTTCCCGACTGTGCGCATGAATCAGAAGCTGTATTTTTCATCCAGGGCTTCTGGTGACAGTTTTTAAGCTGGAAGAACAAAGCAGATCCTGAGGAACCCTATATTATCAGGGTCCAGAGATCATCTGTCCGCGGAGCTGGCTGCACATAGTGCGGTTATGTGATTTCCCCGCGTTAACCATGCCAAGAGCAGCCCATTCCCCCAGAAGGCGATGCCTGCGTTCACATTTCAGACACTACCCTGCCTCTCTCTCTCTCTTCATGTCCTTTGTGGTATTTGCTTATTTGTTGGCTTCAAAAGTTCTTCCTTTTTTTTTTTTTCAGCCTTCCTCTTCCAAATGGGAAGATTTGCAAAAGCCATTCTGGGGCTCTTGAGTGCCTTCCCAGATGGAGGCAAGCCCCGAGATTGCAAACAGCATTGGCACTGCCCATGCTCTGCCCCTTTACAGTGGGTGGACAACAAAGGGGCGACGGTGGGGCGGCTCCTCTGCGCCGGGGCCTGAAGAGGCAGCGTCCCAGAAGCCCATGGATTAGTAAGGTCTGCTGGGGCTGCTTCAGGAGCTGTGGCGGAACAACTCCCTTTTGTTTTGCTGTCTAGCATGTGACCAGAATGCTGCCAGCTAATTTTAACCCCACCAAAGTATGGCTGAAAAAAACACACACACACAAAACAAAACAAAAAAAAAACACTATTGCATCTGGAGAGAGAAATGCTGTGGGCTGGATAAAAGCCTTTTCAGCTTGTGTTCCTTCCTGTTTCAGTTTCCAGACTTGCATTATCGGTAACCTGAAAAATGATGAGTTTCACCAAATTCCTGGATGTTACACAAGAAGACAATGGGGCTATTTCGGGTGCTGTGAGTGTGTCTGGCACAGACCCTGGAAGCCATTGTTTTGGGGAGGGATAATGCTTCGAGCTTTCCTGGTACTTTCCTTGTAGGGTCTCAAAACCCCAAAGGGTAGGGGATGCGGAGGGGGGGTGGGGGGGGGCGAGATACAGGCACTCTCCATGGCAACCCTGTGTGCTTCACTCCGAAAGGACCTGGGTGAGAAGTGGGTTGTTGATTCGATGATGGTGGTGGTGGTGGGGGGTGACGGAGGCAGTGGTGGCCTGGGAGGTGTTAAAAGGTGGATGGAGGGGAGTGTTTGAAGTGGGACAGCAGGAGCAGGAAGAAGTGGGGAGAGGAAAGCTTTCACAATAGCTGAGTGAGTGGCCCCCTGGGACAGAGGCCACCAGCTTTCCTACTAAATTTCCATATCCGCTTTCAACACTAGGAAGTAAGTGGAGGCCTCCGTGGAGTGCCTCCCCCTGGATACTGGCTTCTCAAAGCATTCCCATGGCAGTTTAATTGTTGCTGTCTGGCTTGGTGGCCCATGATGCCCGGTGAAAAGGTATAGACTCTCAAGACCCAGGAAATTAAGCGGTTTGGATAAGCTAGCATGTAGCCCGGCAGCTGCTGCCAGCTGGTCTAAAATCAGGTAGTGAGATGGGCTATCATTAGCCTGAGGTCTACCGTGCAGTCCCAGAAGGCAATATGATGGCGGGGAGACTGAGGGAAAGGCCCCGTTAATGCTGCAGCACTCCGCAGTCCAGAGGGCTTGGGGGCAGTTGTTCTGACAGCTGCTGAGGACTTCAGCCGCCTAAAAAGCCATTTGCTGCGGCCTGCCCTGTCTGGCCAACCTCTGTGTATTAAAGGACTTGCGTTGGTCTTTGAGGTCCCCTCTCCACCTGAATCCTCAGGCGAAGGCCCCACCTTTGGAAGGGATGGGAACCTCCCAAGAGACTCTCCCGCCCTCTGCTATAACCTGTTTACAGGGTCTGTTTATTTGATTGTCCCAAAGGCTTGTTTTGAGCAAGTTGATGCCTGTAATTAAAAAGATGAGAGCTGCCCGGGTCAGGTAACTCAGTTGGTTGGAGCATTGTCCAGTGTGCCAGGGTTGTGAGTTCGATCCCTGGTCAGGACACATACGGGAATCAACCAATGAGTGCATAACTAGGTGGAACAACAAATCTGTCTGTCTCTCTCTCTCTCTCTCTCTCTCTCAAATCAATCAAGTAAAAATTCAAAACAAAAGATGAGAGCTCATGAGTAGGTGAAAATATTTTTGACTCTTCACAAATATGTTTGAATTTCTTTTCTTGCATTTCACAGTAAGGGGTTCAGGTTGGTCAGCACATTTGTCTGTAAGATCACTACGAGCGTTTTCAGTAAGCTAACAGCTGGCTCTTCTGCACAGAATGATAAAAGGAACCCTAAGTCAAGAACTTGTTCCTTGTGCTTCTCTGTCAACAGATTTTTTTGCCAGCATCCAGGTGTCATTAGGACACATTCCTCATTTACCTTTCCGGCCAGAGGATTCCTAAATGTTTCATAATAGCGCCACAGCTGGAATGCAGCTGCTTCAGGGTGGAGCAAAAATAACTCCTTACGGTCGGCAGGGTGAGGGAGGGCAGGGAATCTTGGAGGGCTGGGAAAGTCCTTTCTAAAAGCCAGAAATGAGTGGGGCCTCTGGTGTGAAAACCTTCCAGGTGAGGGAAGGAAGGATAAGTTTTTGCCCACTGCATAGATTCCAAAAATTCACTTGGGGGGTGGGAAGGCTAACTATTTTGAAATTGCCTTTAAAACAAACAGCACAAATGTTTAAATTGACCTGGGAAACGCTTGCTTTTTCCTTTCCCTACGATCCAAGCCTGTTCCCTTGAACATTAACCAACAGGAGAGTTTGTCCAAGCTTCTCTCCTCCCCCATCGTGTCTCTCTCTCTCTTTCTCTCTCTCTCTCTCTCTCTCTCTCTCTCATTATCTTTGCTTCGGCAGAACTTTTGGAAGCTTTCCCAGGCTGGAGCTATAGAATGTTTCCAGGAAAATGCATAAGGAGTGTCTGTGTTTTGAGTTTCTCTGGAGGGGGCTGGACATGTTTTTCAGAGAGACTGAGCTAAGGGCAGCCAGGTCTTGTGCAAGAGTCCAGCCAAGCAAAAGGGCAGACGCTGCCGGAAAGATCTGTGCGCATCCAAAAAAACGCTGAACCGAAGGTGTGGTTTAGTTGGCCCGCCTGTTCTCAGCCTCTTTCAGCCTTTTATTCGAGTGGCTACCTCAATGGCAGTCTGAGAGTGGAAGCACCCCCACCCCCTCCAAAAGATACACTGAGAACAGCTGGGGGCCAGGGTTTGACCTTTATTCTCAAGTTAGCGGTGCTTGTAATTTCTGCCTAAAGAACACTCTCTGATGTAGATGAAGTGCAGGGAGTCAATACTCACCCAGCAGGAAGGCGCCCCGCCCAGGCGAGGAATGTAATGGGTAAAAGGTGTCCTGGAGATGTTGCTGCCAACCCTCCGCCCATGCCAGCGCTGCTCCACTTGGGCCCACAGAAACACACACACAGCTGCATGCACACATGTATCAGAAACATCTGGACACAAAACCAGAAAGCGCCTGCATGAGGCCTGAGGGCAGCGGGACTCGCAGGACCCCTCGCTGATGGAAGTGGCTCTCCAAAGCAAAGGCAGCTGGGGTTTCCCGGAAATACCCTCTTCTTCAGGCTGGTTCATGGGAAAAGGAGGCAGAAGGAGCTCCTAGGAAGGCTGCCCTGAGTGAGCGCTGAGCTGCCCCAGCCACTCTCCAGTGGGAAGCCTGCTTCCTCCTGGGCCCGTCCCCTGAGGAATGTAGTAGCACCCAGTAGATGCTAACGTTTAGGAATCATCTCAGAGTCAGTGTGTTTGTTCAGTATCTTGAGGACCCAAGACCTCCAGAGAGGAAGGACCGAGCAGGGGCCTGCAGTGCTGGAAACCAGAGGACACGGCGCCTGGCTCTCCTCCCGCCGTGCGTGCGTTTGAAGACTATTTACCAGGAACATTGGAACTGGTCATGTAAAATCTCTTTTCCTGTCCGTCCAGGGAACACACATTGACTCCAGAAGGCACCTCCCCCACAGCAGGCTGGGAAGTTGCTTAACAGCCCAGGCTTTGGAATACTGATGCAACGATGACAAGCACAGCTAACATTCATTGGACACCCCTTCTGCATCTGGCATTGTGCTAAGTGTCTTAATGCGGCCTCTCCTCTAATCCACACCTAATGAACAAGGTTCAGTTACTGTCCCCATTTTATAGATGAAGAAACAAAGCTCAGAGAGGTTAAGAAACTTGTGCCAGGATACACAGCTGGTAAGTGATGGCTGGAATTAGAATTCAGGGTTGCCTTACTAGAGTCCTTATCCGACGGGCCTGGGTTTGAATTCTAAGTCAGCTTCGAGTGACTGTGTGACCCTTGCCAGCCTCCAGGCTTCTTGATCTGTTTTCCTAAGGGAAATACATCACATATTGGCAATTTCCTATAACTTAGCCTAAATCTTACACAAGATGTAAGACTGAAATAAGATAATGCATGCAGAGTACTTCGCTGAGCGTTTAGAATGTAGTAAGCACCCAGTAGATGCTAGCTTTTCATAATCATCTCAGTGTCAGTGTGTTTGTTCAGAATCATTAATCACTATTCATAGTCTCTGTGAGTCTTCTTGAACCCTTGAAAGACCCCTCTCATCCCCATATGGGCACATCAGTCCCAAGTCGGCCACATTGCTGATGCCAGGGGAAATAACTTCTAATCCTTTCTTGGTGACTTAATTTGTGCTGGAATCTACACATCTGGAGCACATATCTGTATCCGAGCCACCCATCCCTCCCTTTTGCACTGCCCACTCACATTCACTTGGGTTCATTAGGGGTTCCAAGTTTTCAAAATCATTCAAATCTGATCACTTTCCAGTCCTGCTTAAAAAGTCTTCCAGACGCCGAACAGAATCAAAACAAACCCCTTCCCTGGGACACAAGACCCTTGGGAACTGCCTCCAACCCCTCTCTCTGCCTCTTCCTGCCCCTGGATTACTTGCTGACCACATGAAGCCCCTCTTTGTTCCCGGAATGCCACGTAAACCGTCAAGCCCATGCCTTTGCAGGCTCTCTTCTCCGCCTAGGAGGGATGTTTCCCCTCTTCTCCTTTGAGCAAACTTGTATACATCTTTCAAAACCCAACTCTGTTTTCACCTTTCCCATGAAACTGGCCTCCAGCATTTCTGTCTCTATACTCCATGGCAATCTGCATATGTCACGAAGAGTTGTAACTACATACCTTCCCTACTGGCAACTTGATGTGGTTCAAGGCTAGGGCTTACCTTCTATCCCCCACATCACCTAGAAGGCCTTAAGTAAATGTTAGTCAAAAGAAGGTGCCTGAATATAGATTTGTACAATGTAATTTTATTGGCAGTAAAATAGTATATTATTTATACTTTCCCTGTTCCAGCAAGAATTTGAGGTAGATGTGAATATAAGAATCTTTCTGCCGTAACTGGTTTGGCTCAGTGGGTAGAGCGTCGGCCTGCAGACTGAAGGGTCCCGGGTTCAATTCCGGTCAGGGGCATGTACCTTGGTTGTGGGCACATCCCCAATGGGGGGTGTGTGGGAGGCAGCTGATCAATGTTTCTCTCTCATCAATGTTTCTAGCTCTCTATCCCTCTCCATTCCCCTCTGTGAAAAATCAATAAAAAACATTTTTTTTAAAAAAATAAAGAACCTTTCTTACTCATAAGCAGATAGACAGTAGTGCTTGGTACATCCCATAGTAGAAAGCCAGGGCCTTGGAGTCGAAGAGTTCTGGGTTCAAATCCTAACTTGACGTCTGACTGTGACTTTAAGGCATTACTTCACTTCTCTTAGCCTCAGTTTTCCCATCTGTAAAATGCAGGTAACAATAATTACCTCAGTGGGAGACTTTGTTGATTGCTATCCAATTGTCACTACTGCTTTCTTCCTTAGTGCTCTGAATTATTTTTCCAGAAGTCCATGTGCCTGGAGTGGGGTGGGAGAAATCCTGATCAGTGTAAACTTATCTTGATAAGTTTCCCTTGCTGGTGATTCATTCTGGGATAGATCTGTGACTCCGTTCTGGTCAATGAGATGCAGAGAGGGTTGTTTATGGCGTGTGTGTAGAGAGTTGTTCTAGGAAATAGTCTCCTGCTCTTAAAACATGAGAGAAACAACTGTCCTTCAGCAGCTGGATGTGATGTCTGAAGTGATGGCGGGGGCCACAGCAGCCATTTTGCTGTGATGAGGACAACGACTCAGAGAATCAAGCCAACACCCTAAAGATGATAGAATGGAAACATGGCAAGAACCTGGGTCTTGGTAGCTCAGTTCAGCAGCTGGATTATCCTGCTTTGGAGCCACCCACTTCTGGACTATTTCCTGCGATCCTCAATTCCTTCATTGTTCAGTGAGGGACCACGGGTTCAATCCAATGGACCTGAGGTTGCTGCTCTTACTTGCAGCCAAAAGCATCCTGACAGATGAACCTCACCGGGTTGTTGTGATGACTAAATAAAACAAAGTTTGCAAAGTCCCTAACAGTGCCTGGAACACAGCAGGCTCTTAAAGATTAAAGACTTTCCTGCTGGGACAATCTGAGGTGAATGCATGACTAACTCTTGGTGAGTGACCCAAAGAATGTGGCAGATAGTCATAAAGTCAAATTTAGAGCCGTTCAGAGGTGGGCGGGTGCTGGAATGACAACAAAGATGACGATGACAATAAAACTCAAACACTGCGCTAATAAGTGTCTGATGGAACTTCTCTGAGGCCGTAACAACGGTTCTCCTTTGTTCTTCTCGGGCCTTTTCTTCCCCGGGTCAGAGTGAAACCCTGCTAGACACAGCCTTTTCTAATTGTGGGCAGCCACACTTGCACAAGCGGGGTGGTCCCTGACTTCCCTGGGGCATGGAAGCCCTGCTACAGGATGAAGGCTAGAGTGTAATTTGTAGCTCCAGGAGGAGCCAAGATTTGGAAGTAGAACTCACATACCCACACAAAGTAAAACAGGGGCTGCAACTGACGGAAAAGCACAAAGCCTGTCCCTTCCCAGACCAGCCCCCGCAGATGTCTACAGCTTGGGAAGGCCTGCATTTGGGGGCCCTGGCGGCCCGCCTGGCTTTGGGGCCTGCTGACCAGGCCACAGAGCTCCCCTCCATGCCAGCCCCACGGCCCTTCTGACCCTGTTCCAGGAGAGCTCAGCCACACCAGCGTCTGCCAGACTCATGTCCGCCCAGTGTGTGGGCGGCCCTGGCAGCAGGGGATGGAACAGGGTTTGTGCGAGGACATTGTGGCCCCCGTGGCAGGGTTGTGAGAGAGGCGGTCTCACTTCCGGGCAAGCCAGGAGGGAAGCTGGAGGAGGTAAGGAGCAGAAGCTGCAGACTCAAGGCAGCCTTAGCCCCATTTCCAAGGCCCTCTTCACGTTAGAAGCCTGCTCCAGGCCGTGCACTTCCTGTATGTCTCGCCCCTGCCCAGCCAGGTTCAACATCCACATTCAATTCTGTCCACCAAATATTTATTGAGAATACTCTATGCAAGGTGCTATATTCCTGCCAGCGACTGGGAGTGAGAGAGACACGAAGAAAAACAAGATTAGAGCAGAAAGGACCTCAAATTTCTTTCAGCCTCTATACCTACTCCCCACCCCCACCGCAAGGCCCAAGTATTTAAGAAATAAATAAAAATGTGAATCCAGGGCAGTTGAATCCAGGGCAGGGGCAGGGATCTGTCTCCTCTGGCCAGAGACAGCCTCCATGGACAGAGTATGAAAAGCCGTGGTCTAGACCAGAGGAGAAACTGAGGCCCAGAGAAGTGAAGTGACCTCCATGAGGCACACTCCAGCCAGGTTCAAATTCAGGTGTCCGAGCACCTGGCCCAGTGCCTTATCCATTGCAGGGCCTACGCCTGGGCACTGTTTCAGAGATCAGCAGGGGAGTAGAGGGAAGTGGACCAGGAATAGAATCCATGTGCTACAGACTAGTTACAGAGAGCCAATGGTCTGACTCAGGAGAGAAACCTCCATCTGTGGAAGAGGCACAGGGCTGGGCCGGGGGCAGGATGGGCAGGATTATAATTCAGGCCCTGGAGAAAATGATCTGCTAAAGCCCAGTCAGCATGGCTCAATGGCTGAATGTCGACCTATGAACCAGGAGGTCACTGTTCGATTCCCGAGCCTGCCCAGGCTGCAGGCTCGGCCTATAGTACCGTTTTCTCATTTGTAAATCTGTAATAGGGAAGTCTCTCTACCCCATCCCCTCAAACCAGAGGGGGTGTGCAGGAAGCAGCTGATCAATGATTCTCTCTCATCATTGATGTTTCTATCCCTCTCTTCCTCTCTCTGAAACCAATAAAAACATATTAAGAAAGAAAAAAAAGATCTGCTAAAGACTGAGGAAAGACCGTCAGCTCAGAGTCCTGGGTTCCAGCCCTGGCTCTGCCATCACAAGAAGTGACCTAGGGCCAGTGGTCTCCCTGAGTGGGTTTGTGTCCTTACCCGTAAAATGGCAGAAGGGTGGGCTAGAATGTTCTACGTGGGCTGTGATGTTCTAATGTTCTTCTATGATGCCTTCTCCCTCCCATAGGGCTGCCCTTCACCTCCCCACCGGCACCACCCAGGACACTTTTCAGGGTGCTGGCATTGACATCAGAAGGAAGTGTCCCTGGCACAGTACAAAGCTGGCAGCTCAAGGGGCCTGCCCAGAGTTTGGGGAGCAGTGACAAAGCACGAGGAGGCAGGAACCCGGCCAGAACTGGGGCAGGAGCCATTCCTCTTCTCAGAAGGGTTCATTCCAGTCCAGCCCAGGCCTCAGCCAGTTCTGCTCTGCCCAGGCCCACCACGAGGGGGCAGGAAGGGGAGGCCTTGAGGGTGGGGGTGACAAGCCACTTAATAGTTCCAAACCTCAGCACTCTCATTTTTAAAATGAGCTAAAAACAGTACCTTGGTGTTCTCCGTTGTGAAATGGATCATTTTAGCATCTCAGATGATGAAATGAGATAATGCTTGTCAGGTGCCTAGCACGTGCCTGGTGTAGAACCACTCAGTACATATGAGATCACATGCATTGCCAGAGGGCTGCCTGCTGGGGAAGACCGCACAATTTGAAGGCTCCTGACATTAAACAGGCTGGTTTGAGTAGGGCCCCTATACGCCTAACACAGGCTCAATCACAGGAGGGGAGAACGGGGAACCGCGGTTGGGGAGGTTGGTGAGAAGGCCACTCGAAAAATGTGCGCGCGCCCCCTGCTGGCTGGGAGAAAAGGTGCAGGCCTGCCGGCTGGGAGTTGGAGGAGCCTAGGGGGATGCAGGGCATCCTTGTTAGCACAACCTGCTGTGGCCTGATAGCTTGACCCAATAGTCACATGGTGCCCACCAGGTGTCACCCACTTAGCAACGTGCCAGGCTCTGGGAGGGATGCAAAATGAGTGACAGGTCAGCTAGGTTTGGGGGCCAATTAGCTTTAGAGTCAACCAGGCATCAGTTCAAGCTCAGAGACCACCCCAGAAACTGTGTCTGTTACAGAAGCAAAGTTCCTTGTCTTGGACTTGTAGTGTGTGGAGTGACCTTGGGCAGGGCATGGGATGCCTCTGAGCTTCAGCTTTCTCATCTGTAATAGGGAAGTCTTCTCTACCCCACCCCTCAAACCAGAGGGTAGAAACCCTGGGTGTGGGGCCTCAAGGACTCTGTCACTTGGGAGGAGTTGAAAGTCACCACCAACAGCCGTGTTGTCGCAAGGGAAACCTTATCACTTTGAACCTGGACTGTCACTGGTTGGTTCTTTGGAAGAGTCCCTGTCATGCTCCTGTGGCATGCCAGGCTCCCCAGGTTCCCCCACCCACCAGATACCCTGCAGACCCGGGCTCAGGCCTTCCTACTCCTAAAGAAGGTGAGAAAGTGAGTCATGTAGTTACCTGGTAGAAGGTGGGTTCCAGGCAGAGGAAATGACAGATGCCAGGGCCTCCGAGGCAGGAACATATCTGGTGACAGAGAGACTGTCCTGGAGAAAACAAGGGAGAGGAACAGGACGTGTTGTTAGGGAGGGCATGGGGCGGGGCAGGCGGTGTCGGGCCTCGGGCCATTGGGAGGACACTGGTGTGTGTTGATTCTGAGTGAAACCGGAGGCATGGCAGGTTGTGAGCAGATGAGTGATGTCATCTGTCCTGCATTTGAACAGGTTCATTCTGTTGGGGATTAAGGGTTGGAGAGCAGGGGGACAGGGCTATTGGAGGGACACAGGCAAAGGGACCAGGGTGGTGGTGGCCAAGTTAGTGAGAAGGGACCCACTTCTCAATGTGCTCTGAAGGGAGGGCAGCTGGGGTGAGCTGCATGAGAAATCATCCATTCTGATTTCTATAAATATTTCTCTTGCATATTTTATTATGCGTCCCTAAGGTACATAGGGAAAAGGACTAGTGTCCACACGCCCAAGCACTGTGGACACAGCAAGGAACTAGAGTGCCCACCGCAAGGCCCCACCCAGCTCCTAAGGTGATGACCTTCACCTCCACAGTGGGAATGGTGTGAGGACAATATGCGAACTCTGTGGACTAGATAAAAAGAAGCTACTTTTATTATTTTTTAAAATATATATTTTTATTGATTTCAGAGAGGAAGGGAGAGGGAGATAGAAACATCAATGAAGAGAGAGAATCAGTGATCGGCTGCCTCCTGCACACCCCACACTGGGGATGGAGCCTGCAACCCGGGCATATGCCCTGACCAGGAATCGAACTGTGACCTCCTGTTCATAGGTTGACGTTCAACCACTGAGCCATGCCAGCTAGGCAAGAAGCAACTTTTATTCATGAAATATGGTCAAGGGTCCCCCATGCCCTTTTTTTTCAACCAAGACATATCATTTTAACCCTCTTCTGAAAGTTCAGCAATTAGCACCTGTCTTGTAAACAGGACATGGCAAAGCCCTATTTAGAGAAATGTGGTGGGAAGAGTTTAATCAGGGTAGGCTTCCTGGAGGAGGAGTTTGACTGACTTCCTCTCTTTTCAGGTGAAACCAAGGCTCAGTGGCATTAAATAACTTGCCTGAGGTCACAAAGCGAGAAACTGGCAGAGAAGCGCTTGTGTCAACGCTGGTTTGGCTCAGAAGCTACTGCTCTTAGCCAGGGTGCTGCCATGGTGACCGGCCTTTCCCATTAGAGGAGAATGATGGCCATTCATGGGAGCGCCTGGGACAAGATGATCTGAATGGCCGTCACTCGGTCAGGGTGGAGCACGGGCACCGGAACCTTGGCACTGCCTTGCCAATAATCACAGATTCCCAGTGTGAGGAGGCGAGGTGTGCCAGGCCCTGCGCCCAGAGTTTTAGATGCACCATTTCATTTAACCTTCATTTTGCAGATCAGGAAACTGAGGCCTGACAAGGTTACTATTCTCGCCTGTGAGTGTCAGAACTGAGACAAGAACCCAAGGGTTCCAGTCATTTATTGTTGGATAACGATGAACTCGAAAAGTTAGTGGCTTAAAACGACAACTTATTATTTCTCATGATTCTGTGAGTCGGGCATTTGGGCATGGCTCAGCTGGTTGGTTTTTCCGCTCCATGTGGCGTTAGCTGGGGTCATTCGCTTGGCTGCAGTGAGCTGGTGGCTGGATTGGAAGGGAAGGGCCAAGAAGGCTCTGTTCCCAGGCCTGGCGCCCCAGGGTCCCTCTGCATGACCTCCCGGGGCCAGCATGGTGGCTTCAGGGAGCTGGATGTCTTACCTGGCAGCTGGCTTTTGAAGGAATAAAAGCAGAGCTGCCAGGCTTCTGCGGAGCTCGCTGTGGAGTTGGCACAGTGTCACCTCCACCGAATTCTACTGGTCAAGGAAGTCACATGCCGAGGAGGAGGGAATAGGTCTCTCCTCTTGGTGGGTGCAGCCGCTCATACTGGGATGCGTGATGTTCCTGGCCATCCATAGTGGGAGACTGACTACCATCCCAGCCTCCTCCCTGCCAGCCTCTCTCCCAGACCCTGGGCCTAACCCCAGGAAGCCCTCATCTCCGGGGACCCACTAAAGCTGCCTAGGCCCCCACCAGAGGGGTGTGCCTATGCGTTGTCTTACCTGGTCCTCCTGCCCAAGGACTTCTTCATGCTCTGTGCCTGGCTTCGCAAGAATTCGTCTTCCCTGGTTTCTTCCAGGGCAGGCACCATTTTTTCCGGCTTCCTGTGGCTGCATCACCTGAGTTAGCCTGACGTGTTTTGTCCTCAGGACCCTGAAAGAACCTGGTACATGGCTCACAGGTAGTCAGCCACCTGAACAAGACCGTATTGGATTCACCTTCGCAGGCCCAGCATCAGCACCAGGTCTTCCAGAAAAGCTCGGTAAACAGGGCCTGCTGGCACCTGAGTTCACAGGCTTGGGCCTTGAACAAAGGAAGAGTCTTACTTCTCCAGGACCAGCAGCCTCATCAGCTGGGAATATGGTTAGGAATACGGGCCCTCCCTCCCTACGCACCCTGACCAGGGCCCAGGGCCGGGGATGGAGCCTGAAACCGAGGTATGTGCCCTTGACCGGAATCGAACCCAGGACCCTTCAGTCCATGGGCCGATGATCCATCCACCGAGTAAACCGGCCAGGGCCAGAGTTTGTAAGTTCACAAATACCCAGGTGATTCTCATGCGAGACAACGGAGGTCCCCAAGGTAAAGAAACAGGAGCAGGGTGGGAAGACAGGTGGCAGTGAGTCCCCCTGGGAAGATAAGGCGTGGGTCTCAACCCTGGCTGATGGTTAAATCACCTGTGGTGCTTTTAAAAAATCCCGATGCCCTGTGTGCGCCCAGATCAATTAGATCCAGGTCTCTGGCAGTTGGGCCCGGGATCAGAATCTTAAAAGCTCCTCGGGTGAGTTCAACGTGCAGTGGGTTGAGAGCCGCTGGCTCAGTGTTTTAGTTCGTACAGTGCAGTCTGTGGGCCATCGGAACCACATCACTTGGGGGCATGGATTAAAGACGCAGAGTCCTGGACCATACACCATATTGTGAGTCTACATCTCCTGGGGTGGGGCCCGGAACCCACATTTTTTAACCTTCTCTCTAGGTGATTTAAACGGCACTGAAGTTAGAGACTGTTGAGTTCAGGACCCTGAATAAGCGATGACAATGGCAATGATGTTTCTAAATGAGAAAATGTAGGGAAGCAAACAAACCTCCATACTCCTCCTGCCTAGAGAGCATCAGGGGCCCCTCTTGGCACCCCCTCTGGAGCAGGAAGGAGCCCCCCCCCCGCCCCCAGAGAAGCTGCTCAGGGCAGGGTCGGCGGTGGACTGGGCTGTGCTCTGCTGCAGGGTGGAGCCTGTCATCTGGCCCGGACAGAATTATTGCCTCAAATTACATGGTTGATTATCAATTACTTGTGTCTGTATGAGAGCATGTGTGCGTGTGTGCATAAGTGTCTTTGCAAATCATTAAGGGCCGTAATTCTGGATTATCGTTGATTAACGAGAGGGAGACCTGGTACCTCCAGCAGCCGGGATGGCAGCCCCGCAATTATGTCCCAGCTGATCCGTAATTGGTGCATCACAAGATGATCTCTCCCTCTCGGCTGCCTCCTCCCAGCCTCTCCTGCGGCTCTGCAATTAGCGCCATGGCTCATTCCCTCCCAGCCCGGGCTGAGCTCAGAGACCTGCTTTCTGGCAAGCGGGTGCCGTGGGGCTGGCTTTGAAGCCCCCCACCCCAACATGGGGCGGCGGCGGTGGCCTGTGGGGTGGCGGGAGAGGCTCAGCCACGGGGTGTGGAGCCGGCAGGCGCTCAGGCTTGCCGAGAACTGTGTGCTGCCCGTGACAGTCTTACCATTATTCCTCCCAGCAAGCCCCGAGCCATTCTCCAACCTCCTGCCCCTCCCTCACTGCATGGATGGGGAAACTGAGACCCGGAGAAGGAAAGTGGCAAATCAAGAAAAAAAAAATCCAAAAACAACAATTCAGAACAGCATGGCCACAGAAGTCCAACCCCACAGAGCCAGGAAGGAGCGAAGATGTGGGAGTCCCTACCCCATCACTCCCATCCTGGGGGGCTGTTCATATCACCGCTGGGGGTCTCCGTTTCCCTGAGCAACACAGGCTTTTGTCCTGCAGAGATGACAGCTCCATACACCCGGCTCCCCAGGTCAGGAGGACCAGCACTGTGGACGTCGGTGTTAGCTCAAGGCAGCGGCCCCGCCCCCTGCATTAGGGCCACAGCCGCCTAACTGTTCTTCCCACTGCACCTGGAGCCCCCAGGGTCTGTCACACCGAGACAGAGGATCCTTATACACCCTGTTTCACTCCCAGCAAAGCCTCTGAGTGTCTTTGGCATGTCCTCACACAGTCATTCATTCACACAGGAACTATTTGTTGAGCACCTACTGCGTATAAGGCACTGTGTTAGGCACAATGGGAAACCAAACAGACACAGGCTTACCCTCTGCACCGTGTCACTCGAGGTAACCTCAGGTTAAAGTTTGGATCCCCAGTCTCTTTTCTTGCTCCACCCACCCGCCCTCTCTACCCCACACAGACACCTCCCTTCCTTGGCCCAGTCGGGTCCCTCTGCCTGGAACCCCATTCCCTCCTCCCATCGTCTTTCTCCTGGGGCACACAACCTGGGGGGAGGCAGTGACGCTTGTGCTCATATTGGGGATCAATTCCTGAGAAAGGGGTCTGTCCTCAGCGGGGACCAGCCATCACAGAAGCACAAACTTTAGGGCTGGCTTTACAGGGGGCAGGGGGGGGGAGGGCGGTGAGAAAACGGGGGAAGCAGGGCTGTTCTGGAAACCTGCCCCATAAAGGACTCCCGTGGCTGCAGAGCCACCAGGCCGTTTGTTGGTGAGCCTTGCAGCTGTCTTGGCCATTTTCATTTTTATCTACTTAGGGTGGTCAGCAGGTCATGGCAAGCGGGAGACGCAATGCTAATGACTGGCTGCACGTGGCGGCCATTCAGGAAAAAGCTGCAATGTTCTCTCTGCCACATTAATCAGAAAAACACATCAAGAGCTGTTGTGTGGAGACAGCTTTCCTCCCGGTACCTGCCCTGCATACTAATCACCAGCCCCGCTGGCGGTGAGTCAGCTCCGTGCCAGGCAGGC